CGACTCAGTTGTGAAAAGTTATAAAAATTTCAAAAAAGAAATGAACTTGAAAAACTCAAAAATGGAAATCAAAGTCGTCACCCAGAGTCTCATTTCCTTCTGGTCTCCTACAAAAAGTCACTAATCCTTTCCTCCTCGAGACACAAATAAATAAAATTTTACTTTATCTGTGAGAGCTTTCTTGACTGCCTCACACCAAGAACTAAATAACAATACACATTCTTGATTCTAATCATTTTGAACTGTCATTATACATTTCCAGGTTATTCCTTTCCATTGGCTCCTAAATCTTTAAATGGAGGGATCTAACGATTTAAATCATTATACAATAAATCATTACCTCTTAACAGTTTTTCCCTCTCTCACACACATGCTTATCATGAATAGTTAGCATTCGAATATTTTCTTTGGCCAACACAAATGTAAGGATTATTGGAAATCTGATTTGAAGGTAAAATAATTTTTCTGGAAATCTACCTATGTATTTGCAGCAATCTTCAAGCTGTTTCCTCAAAGTTTTTTTCAAAAATAAATTCCAGGGACATTTTGTCTTTTTCTGTGGGTCAGTAGGGCCTTGGGTCCAAGTGGCCAGAAAGTAGAAGATTGTGAACTAAGCTGTGTGGAATCTCCTGTTGAAGCAAGAAGAAAACTGAATAGTGGTAAAAGAAATGGAAAGGAAATCTGTCCAGAGCCCAATAGGATGATGAGCAGATAAAGAGGCTGTAAGACTTAGGAGGTAAGTTGCATTCATTCTCACTAAAGAACAAATTAAAGGGGAAAGCAGTGAATATAAGAAAATTGGAAAAACACTGCCTCAGATCTAAGATCTCACATCATTTAAGGCAACACCTTTTCAACTTAGAAAGGGCTTGAGGGGCCTCCCTGTTAGTGCAAGAGGTTAAGTATCAGTACTCTGAAGCTATCAGTAGCCACTGCAGCATGAGTTCGGATCCCCAGCCAGAGAGGTGACCCACATGGTGCAGCAGACCTCTCCTGTCTTGCCCTCTGCTCCCCTGAGCAGAGTATTTCAGTAGGTCTGCCTGTTCTGCTCCCCACTACGTCTCTTTGAACAGTCTCATCCTGATGGCCCCCACACCTCTGGCCTATATACTGCAGTTCTTGTATGCATAAAAAAATACATTTTTTTAAAGATGTATTGATTTATTCATACAGAACTGGGGAACAGGCTAGACGTGCAGGGGCCGTGAGAGTCTTCACTAGAGACAGAGCGGGGAGCAGAACAGGCAGATTGACGAAGTACACTGCTGAGGGGAGCAGCGGGCAGGTCAGGAGAGGTCTGCTGCGCCATGTGGATCACCTCCCAGGTGGGTGGAGGATCAAAGGCATGCTGAAGTGGCTTTAGCTTCTCAGTGCTGTGCTTTAACCCACTGTGCCACCAGGGCGGGCCCCATTTTTAAAAAAAGAAAAGGATTTGAAACAGGTTTAAATTTTCTTAATCATAAAGGAAGTTGTGTAGAAAGGAACTGTGAAATTAATTAGTTTGGAAATCCTGGCTCAAGATTACTCTTTATGGTAATAATCCTCTTTAAGTGTAAAGCAGTGTGAAAATATCTTCAATTAAAAAAAAAAGTTTAACCCCATCTGATCTGATACCAGAGCATTATAATACTGGAAGAAAATTATAAATTTCCAGAATGTGGGACTCACATACCACACCTGATTAAATGCTAAAGTCAAATTGGAAAGGAGCCCTATTTTAAGAACTATTGAAAAACCTTTAGCTAGATGACAAATCTCACTAAGATGGAAAAAAAAAAATCATACTGCGGAGAATCCAGGAACTGTAAAAAAAAAAAAGATTCATTAAGAATTAAAAAATTTATACTAATTCAAAAATTTAAATGTGCCTAGTATGATAAAACTTCCTTTGGAATCTTAGGTCTTTTTCTACACTTAAAAAGTCATACACGGAAGCCCTACAAATGTAAGCAATATGAAAATACCTGTAGCCAAAACTAAATCTTCATTAAAAAAAAAAAAATTCATCCTGGAGATAAACATATGACTATGGAAGAGCTTCCATTCAGAAGCTATACCTTAGTCAGCAGAAATGGTAGCAGAGAAATGCCCCTTGCCTGTAAGGTATGTGGGAATATCTTCAATCACAAATCAAATCTCACTTTGCTTGACCATTTTCATAATAGAGAGAAACCTGTTGAATGTAATGAATATGAAAAAGGCTTAGTCCAAAAGCAATATGTCATTAAACATCAATTCCCACATTGGAGAAATTTTTTTGTTTGTTTCTTTTTAAAATTTATATATTTATTTTTGTGCAGAAGAACTGGGGTTTGTATAGGCCAGGGGTGTGGCGATTGGGGCAGGAAGAGCAAGGTGAGAGGATTCACCAGAGACAGCTGGGAGCAAAGCAGATGGAGCTACTGTGGGGGGCGGCGGGTTATGGGGAGCAACAGGCCAGACAAGAGAGGTCTGCTGTGCCATGTGGGTCAGCTCCCTGGCCAGGCATGGAACTCAGGCCATAGTCATGATAATGCTGAGTCTTAACCCCTAGGCCACCAGGGAGGTCCCTTTAAAGCATCCTTTGTGTGTGTTTGATGATCTCGGTACAGACACTATCCCCTTTACTCAAACTGGTTAATCTTCTCCTCTCATGTATTTATTTGCCCCAGTTTAAAAGTTACACTTAGGGAAGAAAATTGCCTTATTAATTCACATAGCAATTTGTCCAGCAGGCTGTTAGAACATGGTTATCCTAAAACCATGTTCCAATTTACTAAATTGAAACTGGTAGATTTTACCTACATTCTGATGGCCATAAAACCAATTTCATGCTGTCTAAGTCATGATTAAAATGTTACAGATTTCAGCATACCACTGCTGTTTCCAGCAGAAGAGATCCAAATTAACCTTCCATCAAGAATCAAAGAGAAACACCCAACAAAATACAAGAAACAATGATTTTCAAGAGTGTAGGCATCAGACAGTCAAGCACAATGATACCATTGAGATAGGAAAACAAGTAAGCCTTATGATTGCCCCACGTATTGTTTTGAGGGCGTTTCCAAACCATGGGACAGGAAAAGGGAAGCCAATTCACATCGCATGGATGCTCTGAAACAAGAAGACAGAGCTGAGAGTTTGGGTAGACACAGGCAGCTGCATTTTACAGGACAAACTTCTAGAAAGAGAAGCGTTACTGAGAGAAAACTAGAAAATGATGAAGGGTCTCCATGGACAGGGTAGGAGTCATCACATGCATGTAAACACATGGAAGCAAAAGAAAGAAATATGTAACAAGATTGGAGGGGAAAAGATCCATCCCTTGCTCACACAGAGTAGAATAGTGACTACTCCCATCAACCAAACTGAAACACCACATAATTCATGGAGCATTTAGATGGAATATTCAGAAGAGTCTTGTCTCAGAAGTGGGGGATAATTAGCACTAGATTAAATGCTACACTGGATTAAATGCTACTCTAATCCCACCTAGTATCAAAAGCAATGGCAAAAATTATTAAAATGTTTCCAAGTAATATGACCTCATCTGATAACATCTCAAGAATATTTATGCGGGGGGGGGGGGGTCTCCCATGCTGGCCTAGAGTTTACGTTTCAGCACTATTACTGCTACAGCCTGAGTTGGCTCCCCTGCCAGGGAGCTGATCCACACATGGCGCAGCAGACCTCTCCCGTTTCCCCAGCTGCTCCCCTCAGCAGTGTATTTCATTAAATCGGCCTGCTCTGCTCCCCATGCTGTCTCTGGTGAATCATCTCACCCCCTGCACCTCTGGCTTACACCGAAGCTCTTCTATGCAAAGATAAATAAAAATCTTTAGAAATAAAAGAAAAATCATTCAAAAAATAATAAAAATAAAGTGCAGATCTGATTTAAAAAATAGACTATGTGAAAGTAAAGAATCCAACACCCGAAAGAACTTTGTAATGTCTTCCATCCAAACTAAGTTGATCAAGTCTGCATTGAAGAAAAATACAGACCATTTTAAGAAAAAGAATATCGACCGATCTAAATGAGCGGAAGTGGCAAAGATATTACAATTATCAAACACAAACATCCCTGTGGTTGAACTGTCACCCCACAAAAGCTATCTTGACGTTTTAAGACCTAGTGTATCTATGAATATGACCTTATTTGGAAATAGGGTCTTTGTAGCTATTCCAATTAAACAGAAGTCATGCAAGGCGGGCCCTCATCCAATCACCCAATCTAAAGACACCATCCAGAATCCACTTGCCAGCGTTTAGTCCACGGTGTTCCATTCCAGCGCACAACGCTCTCTGCCATTCCCAGGTCTCCCCAGCAGATGGCCCCAACAGCCCAGGTCCCCACCCGCCTGGCCACGTCCGCCCGCTGCAGTGACAGCCCCTCGCCGCCAGGCGGCTCCCGGTGGGGCGTTCTGCTCCAGAGTGCGGGCCAGCGCGCAGCGGTAGGGGTTTGCGCTGAAATTGGAGAACAGTGAGAATCTCCCAGGGGTGCCGGGCTCTGGCTACGTCGGTACCTCGGGCTGGCCAGCGACGTGTGACCCCCTTCGACACTCAGCAGAGGCATCCTGGGCCAGAACTGAAGTTCTGCTGGATATCGGGGTGTCGGCCCGAGACAGCGCATTCCAACTTTGGGTGGAGAGTGCGTGCAGCGCATCCTGGCAAGCGGCGCTTTTAGGAGGCGACCGGCGGGCAAAGGGGCCCACTGGATGTAGGGACAAGGCAGAGAGGAGGCGACTGCACTAGACCTTGGCGAGAACTCAGGGAGACACGCACAGGGCAGAATGGAAAGCAAGAGGGACCGCCTGGACCGGTGTTAGACTTGAGGGAACAGAAGCAGCAGGCTGCGTAATTCTGGGTAAAGAATGTGAAGCAAGTAGGCTTGTTTGGGTGGAGAGTTGCCTAGGGAAACGGAGCACTTACGAGCTCTTTCCCTCTCCAGCCTCCTCTTTGGTGCTGAAGTCACGACCTCGCAGAGCCTTCCTCCGCCTACCCTTCTGCTCCTGCTCCAGGAGCCCCAGGAGCTAAGAACTGAGAATAAGACGTAGTGGAGAATGAAGAAATAAACTTGGGGACCTGTGGAAAATGAGGTCGACGCCCCTGCTGCAGCTGGCTCTGCTTCTCCTCCTGCATGGAAGCCTGGGGGTGCCGGGGTGTCCTCCGCCCTGCGAGTGCCACCAGGAGGATGACTTCAGGGTCACCTGCAAAGACATCCACCGCATCCCCAGCCTTCCCCGCAGCACGCAAACCCTGTGAGTACCTGGGAGAGAAGAGGGGAGGACATAGAAGCCAAGGGCTTGCAGAAATGTGGGGGGCTTGCACAGAAAGAAATAGGCAAAAAGGCAAAAGGCTGTGTGTGTGTGTGTGAGTGTGTGTGTGAGTGTGTGAACTCAATTGTCCAGGCCTAGGACTCTGACACACCCGAGGTATTCATAACATAGGAAAAGGTGACAAAACCTTGGTACAAGATGAAAGTGAGTTTTTCTTGATAAATTTGCTATTTCTTTATTTTGCCTCTTTCTAGTCCTGGCTGAATTTTAGTTTCACTTCAGATATTTTAATAAGACTATAGGTAATGAGAAATTGATCTTGTGGATCTTATTTTAGGAAATGAAAAAAATCACACAAAAATTTGTTTCTCCTTTTCAGCTCTGTCGATGGGAAATTATCTTAGTAGGTCTACTGGTTCATCTGCTAATTAACAAAAATATAATCAGAGATGTGGTATATATATATATATATATATATATATATTTAGATGTGTATGTATCCTTCCTATAAAGTGTGATGGTAGCTTTGTCTGAAGTATCCCAAGTTACTTTCTCAAATGTGAACTATCCACCAACCAGCCTTTGGGTTGGGCACAGTAGAGGTATAAAGAGATGAAATGTCATAAAATATCTTTTGTCTGCATGTGAAATGTTGCCAAGTTAGAAACTTAATGTTATGTAAGTCATATATCTGTCTGTTGCTTAGCAAACATTTACATCAATGACCACTGAAAGCATAATTGCAGATAAAGTCAAGGGAGGAAAGGTTTTCTTGAGTGGGTACAAATGAAACAGAAAGAAATAATAGTAAAACAAGCAAGGCTAGGCAAACATAGTTAAGGTAACACAAGCAAGTTACTAAAGAAAACACAGGTAGATGAAAGTTGGTGCTGAATTGGTACTTCAAGTTTTTTTCTCAAGAATTTTAGCTCAGAGGGACAGTCCATGTAGATGTGAGCAGAGGTAAGCATTTCCGTGCTCTAAGGTAACTTCCTTTCCTATCTCACCTGGATTAATTCGTGCAATAAACTCCTGGTAGAGCTTCTTTCTCTGTGCCACCTCCACAGAATAAAATGCACTCTTATCCTCCTGGGTAAGCACCTACTTACACTTGCTGTGGCCTCTGGGAAAAGAGTCTTTGGTACAACCTATAAAATCCTTCAAGAGTAACCTAGTGCTTCTCTCAAACCTTTGGGCCCCTCCTGAAATTTTTCCACTCCTCCTGAACAGAACTTCTGGCACTTTCCCCCAAATTCTCTGCTCACTCTGCCTGAGGCTCTGCCCTCGATCTACAGCAGTTTTCCCCTTTCTTCATCTGCCAATGCCTAAGATTCAGGCCAAGGGTCAGCTGGCCTCTAGACTGGATGAATTACCCCATTACTGTGTGAGAACCCCATCCTCACCCTTACCCACAGCAAGTAACTTGCTGATTTTCTTCGTGTGCAAGACATGAGCTCCCCTTCCACAGAGACTCTGTCATTTACTCCAGAGCCCTTGTTCCCAGCGCAAGGTCTAGAACTACTCTGGTGCTCAAACAAAAAATGATGTTAAATAATGAGTGAACAAAAAGTAAATATTAAGCCTCAGACTGCTTACTGCGTGGTAAGTGAAAAGACCAGAGGCATCACGTCTTCAAGGAACGTCTTTAAAGATGGCGGAATCCAGGGTCAGAGAGAGAAATGTGGTTCTGGAAATGGCAGGGAACTCGGAGTCATCCTGCTTCTGATACCACCAATGTAGGGGAGAAAGGGTAATGCTGGGAACAATCACGGGGAACCTGGGGTCTCCTCACCGGCTCCTCATTGTGCAGTTAGGTGAGATCATTTGAGAGCACCCCAGTTGCCTCTGGGTGAAAGACAGAGCTCAACCAGCTGTTTTGTGATGTCTGTGGTTTAAGCGAGTCTGAAGGAACCCACTGAACTCAAGACAGTGACAAGGACACTCTGACCTTGAAAACAAAGGAGGGACTCAGTTCTGAAGGGAGAGGTTATTCTGAGAGAGGGAAGCAAACACTACCGAAAAGTATAGGTACAGGAGCATGCTAATAATTTACACAATGATCACAAGTATTGCTAACAGGAGCCAAGCAATTTTCAAAATTTTGAGGGGCAGTTGCACTCTCTTGTTGAAGGAAGGCTTATGAAGATGTCAAATGTAAACTAGCTGCTTATTGTGCTGGTTCCTGTCCTCAGCATGATACATAGTGCTCAAACCACTGAATTCTCTTAAAATACAAGTGACTTATTGACTTAAAACTCTCATTTGATAGATTAGGAAATCAAGGCTCAAAATGCAAAGTCACTGACTCCATGTCACACAGCTTGTATACCCTAGCAGTGCCAGGATATGAGATAGCACAGAACTGTACCCTGAAACTACTTCTCACAGGCACCTTTCCACTCCTCCCTGCAGGGGCATGAGGCTTTGGAGAAAGACTTTGAAAACTGGTGATGTCCAATAAGCCATAGTAGCTTTGGGGGCTTTTGACCTGAAAGAGAGCAAATTCTAATCATTAGCCAGCCAGTGTGCACATGATCATAGATGTAAGCAAGAACTCAAAAAAATAGTAGGTCAGGTGGAAAAGAGATAGAAAGGACAGAAAGAATAACAGGCCTGGGAGGAAGAGAGGAAAGAAAGATTAACATAGAAGGTAAGGGGAAAATTCTCTGCTAAAACAAACCAGCTCTTTGTCACTGAAAACCTGTTCTGGGTGGTAGCCATTGTCTGAAACTAGATGCTGTGTAAACCATTGCTAATCATTTTACAGATTATTATAGTGCTGGGAGCCGTTTTTTTTTTCCAAGCCTTATCTTCTGTCCATAATAATGGTGCTGAAAGGGAAAACAGATCAGATCACCTCTTCTGCACTCCCCACACATTTGCCTCGTGGCGGGGTGGGCAGAAAGTTCTTTTGTTATTGGTCTCACTAAAACACTGGATCTTTTTCTCCACCTGCACCCTCTGGGGTGAGGGATGCATGATTCACTCTCGAATAACAGTGGCTCCTCCTGGAGGGGGTGGGGGGCGGCGCATGATTCACTCTCACATAACAGTGGCTCTTCTGGGTGCAGGACTGAAGGGGAGCTGCAGCCCATCCCTGCCAAAGAAATATCCTGCAATCTTTGATATATGGACAGTGTGTACAACATTACTCCTCTCATGTGAGACTAACTGATCTAAGGTAATTCAACAGAATAGAACTGAGCATTTACATTTGGGCATGTGATTGAATATCATATTATCTCCAAACCAAAGATGGAAAGATTGACCATCATTCTCATCCAGAAAGCTGCCATGGCCCCTCTGTGCCCCAGAATACCCTGATGAGCCTCCCTTTTCTGATTGAGGAAGTGGAAGGGATTTAATTGTTTTTTTCCTATAGACATGGGTTTTTCCTCAAGAAACTGAGGCTATCCCTTGCCTTATCTTTTTGACCTGTCAGTTTCACAAAAATGTTAATCAGCACCTTCACCTGCAACCTTCTAGGGTCTCAGGCCACAGCACAGTAATGTGTAGTTACTTGAGCATTATTGCTCCTTGAGAAATGTTTCTGAAGGGGCTGCTGCAGATGTTTTCAGGAGTTCTCTGCCCATCTCAACCATTTGCACTCTGCATCTGTGACTGCCTGATAGGCTCTCCCTGTATTTTCTGAACCACAGACCAACGTCTGCAGAATTTTTGCCTTGTGTGTTCCACTTGTGCTATTATTAACTCCATAACTTTTAGTGGACTCCTTTATTTTTTTAATATTTACTGCTGTATACAAGAACTGGGGTACAGGCCAGAGGTGCGGGAGATGCACCAGTGAGAGAGAGGGCAGAACAGGCAGATCTACTGAAAGACACCGCTGAGGGGAGCAGTGGACGAGACAGGTGAGATCTGCTGTGCCATGTGGGTCACCCTCTGGGCAATCACTCCCACTGTGGTGACTATGGAGCGCTTCATAGTGCTGTGCTTTCACTCCTTGCCCCACCAGGGAGGCCACCGAATTACATGTTACTCTTTCCAAAATGTTTCTTTCCTTAAGCGAGGTTGGAGAGGGTTTTCTGTTCCCACCCAAATCCTCAACTGATAACACCTGGAGTAAAATAAGTCATGGAGTCTGGAAGCAAGAAGAGAGTCCTTCAGAAGACATGCAAGCACAGCATGTGGGTGTTGCCCCACAGGCGTCTGTTCTGCAGGGAGCCAAGTGTCCTTCAGGTTACAACCACCGACCACGACTAAAACAGCCAAGCAGTGTGGACGAAGCCCACATCCCTCTACATGTGGAACAGGCATGACTTAGAATGCGTGAGATTATTCCAGGTGGATTACCCATGGGCATCCAGCACCAGTCATGGTGAGGGAAGGACTCTTTTCCCAGGGTCTTTCAATTCTTCTGAAACTGCCAAGGACATGAGATGGGGTGAACATCTCCCCATGTTTCTTTCACAGTTATTATCTTCCTTTATCAAAGAAAAGGCAGCCAGAGGCTTAGGACATTCACAGATAGTCATCTTGAGCTTGAATATATCTGCATTCGCTGTATTTAGTTTTCTGCTATCTGCTATTTGTAGCAAATTATTCTAATTTTCTATTTATTGTTATGATATAAATTTTCTTAATGCATAAGTGGTTAAGTCTCAGCACTATGAAGCTATCACCAGCCACTGCAGCACGAATTCCATCCCCGGCCAGGGAGCTGACCCACACGGCGCAGTAGACCTCTCCTGCCTCACTGTTACCCTCAGCAGTGCGTTTCAGTAGATCTGCCTGTTCTGCTCCCCACTCAGTCTCTGGAGCTCCTCTCCCCCCTCCACACCTCTAGCCTATACTCCAGTTCTTGTAAACATAAATAAATAAATCAAAAAAAAAAAAATAACATGTAATTCACAGAATCTATCTATAGAATAGGCTTTGAGAGGACCCAGAGCCCACAGTAGGCAGTAGAGCCACAACCAGCCATGTGGTTAGAGCAACTCCATGGACAATTTGTGGCCACA